TCATTGCATCTCAGCTTCAGAGGCTGCATGGAGTGCACAATCATTTGCAAACAGAAAATCAAGCACCAACATTCCCTCCACTTTGGTCTTGGCTTGTAGTCTTTTCAAGTCAGTTTTATGCTAATAGTAACAATGCTAAGCGCTTTTATGATGCCCTGAAGGCTATTTATGAGCCAAAGACCTATGGTACATCTCAACTACTCAGTGCTGATGGAGCCACATTGATAAGGACATGGTCCTAGAGAGATGGGCTGAACACTTCCATAATGTTCTCAACAGACTGTCATCAATCAATGCTGAAGCCATTGACTGTTTACCTCAGGTTGAAGTCAATCCCTCCCTAGCTCAAGTTCCAGCTGAAGAAGAGGTTTTGAATGCCATTAGGTTCCTTTTGTGTATCAAAGCACCTGGTGCTGATTCTACTCCAGCTAAGATTTACAAGGTAGAGGGTCCATTGCTCATACAAAAGTCGACTGAAATTTTCCAGGTTATATGGCAAGAGGAGATTATCCCCCAGGAGTTCTGCTTCCATTGTCCATCTCTATAAAAGTAAAGGAAATAGATTGTCCTGTGACAATCACCGGGGGGGGGGGGTTCTCTGCTTAGTAATTGCTGGCAAGATTCTTGCCAGAGTCCTCCTTAGTAGGCTGCTCCTTCACCTGGAAGATGATCATCTACCTGAGAGCCAGTGTGGCTTCAGAAAGGGCTGAGAAATGGTTGATATGTTGTTTGCTGCCCAACAACTCCAGGAAAAATGCCAGGAGAAGAACAGAGGTCTGCAACATTTGTAGATAAATATGATGTGGCAGCCAAAGAGTTAATGCAAGGGGCAGCTAGGTGGTGCACCAGCCCTGAAGTCAGGAGGACCTGAGTTCAACTGTGGCCTCAGAGCAAACACTTGACATGTACTAGCAGTGTGACCTTGGGCAAGTCATTTAACCCTGATTGCCTCACCAAAAAAAAAAAAGCTAATGCAGTCTTAGGCTACATTAAGAGAAATAATAGGAATATGGAGGTGACAGTCCTAGTGTACTCTGCTCCCATCCAGCCTCAGCTGGAGTACCATGTTCAGGTCTGGATACCTTAACTTGACAAGAACAAGCTGGAGAGTGTCTAAAGAAGAGTTACCCTTATGATAAAGGACCTTGAGGCCATATCTTATGAGGATTGGTTGAAGGAAATGGGTGTGTTAGTCCTGGATAAGAGAAAACATATGGGGAATATGATAGCTGTCTTAAAGTGATTGAAGGGCTGTCATGTGGACGAGGGGATAGGCTTGTTCCATTTGGCCCTGGAGGGCAGAACCAGGAGCAGCAAGTAAGTGGAAGTTACAAAGAGATATACTTAGGCTTGATGTCAGGAAAGATTTCCTAACAATTAGAGCTTTCTGAAAGTAAAATGGGCTGCCTCAAGAGATGGTGGGTTCTCCCTCTGCTTAGAGACCTCAAAGCAGAGACTGGTTGACTAGTGGTTAGGTGTGTTATGATGGGTATCTTTTGTGTGCAGATTGGCCCAGATTGCTGCTGAGATCTCTTCCAACTCAGATTCCGTGACTGCTATGTGTTAAAGGTTCAGAACATGTAATTAATGAATAGATTCAAACCAGACTCTGTGAGTTATAAACAGCATATGTAACATTAAAGGTTACAACCTTAATTTGTTTCTTATTGCTCATAGCATTGGAGTGAGAGGGGAGGAGGTATCATAGAATCCTGTAAACAAAATGTTGTTATTTAAATAGAAATACATGGACAATGGTTATTTTTTTAAAATCATCTCTTGTAATTTAGGGAAAGAAATCTATGTTTTTACACTGGTAGCATTTAAAATGCCATCATAAATAAATAGGCAGAGGGAAAAAAATAATCCAAAATGTTCTATCTCTTTTCATGTGGGAACCATGGGACCACTCCAAACATTGCTCCATAGATAGAATAGAATGTGAAAATTTTAATTGCACAATTTCCCTTCCTAATATGATCCTAATTCAGTCATTCTCCTTTTGCCTAGCACAGCTTCTTTAGAGATTACTGGAAATGTTTTCAAAGGTAACCCAAAGTAAACATGCTCACATTACAGAATTCTCACCCAGATAGGGTCATCTACTGACCACGAGCCCTTCCTTATTTTCCAGGTTCTGGTTCCCCCAGCCACTTTTTCATCATCTGTAAGCAGCAGGGATTAAGTCCTACTGGCCCTAGCTTCTTGGGGCTATTTGCCAGGCAGGGTTTTCACGTTCTGGAACTCCTTGTTACTGACCCTTCAAAGCCTGGAGAAGCAAGTGTGCAGGGGCCAGGTAGTTCTGTATTTTTGCAAGGTTGGATTTTGTTTTGTTTAGTTTTTTAACCTATCTGGAGGTGGAGGAAATGCTTTTTTTTTTTTATTTGTAGAGCCATCACCTTAATATGGAATATAGTTCAGCAAATGAAAGACGGGTATGGAATTGATATGGCCTTCTTTGAAAATCTTTTCCTAGAGTACCCATACTGAACTGTACAGATGAATGAGGGGAAGGGGTGCAGCAGGAGAAGAGCCATATTAAGCATTTACCTTGTTCTCCTCTGAACTTTTTTTACTCTGGGGGGATTTTTTATTCTTTTCCCTATGATGCAGATTGTCCTTATTTTTTTATTCTATTTATACCATATTCTTTCTTGACAATTAAAAGTTGTTTTGTATTTCCCTTTTTCACTTTTAAAAAATTTTTGTGCACATGGACCCTGTGCTGGTTCTCCTGCCATACTTAACTGCTGTCACTTTTAATCAACAAGCGTTTCTTAAGCATCTGCTTTGTGCTGGGACACAGGACAAAAAGGACAGTATCCCCACCCTCAGAGGGCTTTACATTATACAACATACAAATGGGGAAGTACAACAGAATTTCAGGTAGGAGAGATCTCTGACAACTAGGGTAGGGGGATTAGGAAAGGTTTCAAAAAGCAGATGGCATAGGGCAGCTAGGTGGTGCATCGGATAGAGCCCCAGCCCTGAAGTCAGGAGGACCTGAGTTCAAATCAGGCCTCAGACCAAACACTTGACAAGCTGTGTGACCCTGGGCAAGTCACTTAATCCCAATTGCCCCTCCCTAAAAAAAAAAAAAAGCAGATGGCACCTGAACTGGACCTCCAGGAAGATGAGGACTCTAAAAGGCCAAGAGGAGTTGGGCAAGCATGTCAGCCATGGGAGGCAGCCTGGGCAAAAACCCATAGATGTGAACTGGAAATCTGAGTGCAGGGAACAGCAAACTAGCTAATTAGGCTGGAATACAGAAACTGTGAAAAAGCAAGGCTAGGCTGGAGCCAAAGTGTGCAGGGCATGAAGAGTTTTTAATGTATCCTAGATGCAGTGAGGAACCCTTGAAGATTCTTGATCAGGGAAATGACATGACCAGACTGTGGTTTAAGATTATTTTAGCCTCTGTGTAACAGTTGGATTAGAAAGTTAGACAGGCTGAAATCAGGGGCATAATTGTCTAAGTAGAAGATAATGAGGATCTGACTGAGGTCAGAGACTATGTTAGTGAAGAAAAGGGGACAGGTATGAAGAGGTAATGTGGAAGGGAAGCAGGAAGTTCTCACAATTTATTGGATGTGCTTTGGGAATTTTTTTCACCTTGAGATAATTACAGCCCTCTCTCATATAATCTAGTTCATCCTAAAAGTGTTTAGTATATCAGAAAAATAAATAAAGCACATAGAGAAAGACACAAATTTATTCCTCAGTATGGTCTACAAAATGCTTTTAGTAAGGGGCAATTTTCCCATCTATTAAAGGCCAGTCACTTTTTTGTGATGAACAGAATGATAAAGCATTGGGGGTTTTTTTTGTATTTTCATTTTTGGAAATGCGGCTATATAGCATTGTAGAAGACTGGTGTACACAATGTCTCATTGCCTTTTTGATCTCTGTCAATAACCTTCCTTATGTCTCTCTTGAGGAATTCAGGTTAATATGATTAAGAATATAAAACATCAGACCCCAATGGGGAAAAAGAGAAGCTCTGCACTTAAAATTTATAAAATTGCCAGAAAACTCTAGCTTTAGAGCTAGAAAGGACCTTAGAGGTTCTTTAGTTCAGCCCCTTCATTTTACAAATGAATCAGCTTAGACCCAGAGTGGTTCTGTGGCTTGCCGGAGTGAAATAGCTGGTCAGTGACTGAGGCTGTATTCAAACCTAGATCTGCCCAATTCCAAGTCCAGCATTCTCTCCACTGTCATGCAGTTTTATGAGTTGCAATAAACACATTAACCTCCACTTATATTCTAAATCTTCATCTACCAGAGGGGTCCCAAACTTATTTGGCCTACCACCTCCTTTTCAAAAAAATTACTCAGCACCTCCCTGAAAATCTACTTTCTTTAACACCTTTAATGGTTTTGTTGAAGTTTGTGTCATTTCAACTATTACCACCCTCCTGGATCATTCCAGTGCCCTGCAGGGGCAGTATCACCTGCTTTTGGAACCTGTGAAACATTATACTAGACTTCATCACCTGTTCTTGACTTGTCCCATCATCCTTCATGTATAAAGTAGATTCTTTCTCACTTTAATTCATCTTTTGAAGTTTTCCCATTTCTTAAGGTCCAACTTAGTTACCTCTTCTTCCAAGAAATCTTTATTTATGCTCTTTCCATCTTCCATTTCCCAGGTAAGAGTGATCATTTACTCATATTTCTCAAAGTCTTTTGCTTGGGCTTCTTTCTTTTTTTGCACTTGTATCATTTTCCCTTTATATCATGTTTTCCTCCCTCCTATTATTAGGTTGTAAGATGCTTGAGAATAGTGCCTATGTCCTATCTAACTTTGTAACTCTAGCCCCTTAGACAGTGCTCTCTGCCCACAATATTTGCTTAATGATAATTTCTAATTGAGTTGGAGTAGATTGAGTATTCTCTAGCTACTTGCATATATGCTTAACTGTTGTATTCCTTGTTGATTATCCTTTCTCTGTCTTTGGATTGGTTTTGTTGGTGATATATTTTCTCATTTTTGTTCAAAGGGTAGCCATTCTACAAAAGTAGAAGCTGTGGTCCGAACTCTAAAGAGAATCCAGTTTAAAAACCCAGGTGCCAAATCACTCGTCTTCTCAACGGTATAATCAATATTTCCTTTTTAATATTGATTTGGCTGTTTTCTCTTTATTATAAAGTGTTGATAATGCTGTCTAATCTGCATGCATGTGACAGACCCGTTAGCTAAATGTTAATGACTGGTAAGTGATTTTTTTTTTAAGTTTGAGTCAGTCAGACAAATTCTGCATGACAGTATGATGGCAGTAGTAATCTGATATCACTTCAGAGAGACATTCACAGAATCTCAGAGTGGGAAGAGACTTTTAAGGGGCCATCTAGTCCATTCTTATAAATGTACAGACAGCAACAAGACATAATTTTTATTTCATAATTTTAAGTTTGAGACATTTTAATATTTTACAAATTGTAACCCTCACACTTAATACACTGCCTACCTGCTCTTTCACATAACATACTAGGTTGATGGATTTCATGTAGTTTTGTTTGTATGTGTATTGGAGTGGTAAGAGAGTAGCTAAAACTGATGTGGTAAATAAAGTACTGAATAAGGATGCTGGATTTCATTCCATTTCTAAAACAAGTTGTTTCATTTTAATTTCTTTATTCTTATTTCTCAAAGGCAGTTGTAGCTAATCAGTTAAACAATACTACTTTCTTGTGTGTTTAAACCTCAGCTTTCTTTTTTTTCAAGATATAACCAGTTAATATGCATAAGTGACAATTTTTGGTATCCTTAAGATAAGGCTAATGCTTAATAGTGGTTTTTGTTTATTTTGTGTGTTCCAGTGGCAAGATGTGCTAGACATTATTTCAAAAGCTCTGTATGATAACAACATGGTGTTTGCACAAATCAATGGAATTCACAGATTTCAGGTATGCTGACAAAATTTTGTATGTATAAATAAGTTAGTGAGAGGGGACTCCATATTTATAGAGTGATACTGCTGTTAACCAGTCTACTTAGTAAAAGAAATCAGCAAATAATTAGTAAGCACCCATCAAGGTAGATTGTATAGCGTAGAGTTCTTAAATGTTAACTTGTATATAGATCATCACCTTCAAATTAAAGTAATGAAATGACAGTCAAGTCCCATCAGTCTCTTCACTCACACCTACTATCAAGATAAAATATTATCGTCTCCTTTGTGCTGCTCATTTTCACACGCCTTCTATTTCAACACTTCAGAACTTGAATCATAGATTCCTGGAATTCTAGATGAAAGACATCAGAAAGTCCAGTGATTCCCAACCTGTGGTTTGCCATGGGGTCCCTGAACCTATATATGTTTACCAAGCATTATCATAGTGATCTTTATTTAGCTCCAACAAAATATATAACAGGAATAATGATTTTTTAATGCATTTAGATATGTTTATAGAATACAAATTCATTTTTAAAGTGTTATTAAATCCATATAAGCTTTTTTGTCATTATGCAGTTTCTCTGTTATAGGCTCATAATTTTTTTTTGTTGGTGAAAAGAATTCCTCATTTTTTTAAAAGGTTGGGAATGATTGATCTAGTTTCTAACATCTGTATTTTAGAGATAAGAAAATTGGACTCAGGGCTGTTAGGTTATCAGTCTGAAGTAGCCCTCTCATCTTTCAATTCAACAAATGTTCATTAAGTGTATACAGTGTTGTGGAGGATTTTGCCAGTAAACAAGCATTTATTAAGCACCTACTATGTGCCAGGTACTTTGCCAAGCTGCTAATATAAGCAAAAGGAAATAGTCCCTGCTATCGAGTCTATATTCTAATTGACAGAAGACATCACAGAAAAGAGTACTAAAAAGTACAGGGTGAGGGAGGCTGGGATAAGAGTGGCACAGTCCAGAGAGTCAGAAGCATATCTGAGAGGGTAGTGAAATATGGCCAGCCTGTCCGTATCCTCAAAATGGAGTCCTTAGAAGGAACTCTTCATTGAGAGGAAGCTGAGATGATAAAGAAATGTGCCAGAGTGAGAAGGTCCCAGAAGCTGAGGTTCAGGGTGAGAATGCAGCAGAGTCATGGTAGTCTCAAGGACATTCTCTACATCTCCAGCTGCATTTGGATCATCTCTACCTGAATGTACCATCAAGATCTCAAACTTCTGTCCAAAACTGAGTTTATTATGTTTGGAACCTCTTCCAACTTCTTTATTTTTGTCCATAGAATTCACCCTATTTTCCATATATAAAACTGTGATGTTATCTCTGACTCCTTGTCTTTCATAGACATCCAGTCAATTACCATGACCTGCCAAGCTTTCTTCAGCAATATCTCTAGTATTTATGTGCTCCCACTATTGCAATTTCTACCACCCTAGGATAGACTCTAATTGCTGTCTGACTGGATTATTGCAACAGCTGCTACTCTTTCCCATCTCTGTTCTCCCTTCACACTGTTCTGAGATTTGTACATCTTCATACTCAATCTCTCTTTATACATCTGCTCAATCTGCTCTTTATATATCAATCATCTTGCCACTTCTACTTGAGAATCTTCTATATCTCCCTTGCCTGGCCTTCCTGGTCACTCTGATGACCCTCTAGGAAGGAAGTACAATAAAGGAAATATCCTCTATTAAATTTTTCCTTATCCATCATCAGTGACAAATCTTTCTTCTTAGAGCCCACTTAGTATTTTGATTAACACCACCCTGATACATTTATCCTATAATGTTATATTACTACAGTTATCATTGTATAGTTCTTATTCCTCTAATATAGATGGCAAACTCCACGAGGGCATGTACTATGTCTTACCTAAGTTTGTATCTTACCCCAGGACCTAGCAGACTGCTCTGCAAACAGTAGTTACTTAATCTTTTTAAATTTAATTTTTTTTTAAGGCAATTGGGGGTTAAGTGACTGCCCAGTGTAACACAGCTAGTTAAGTGTCAAGTGTTTGGTCTGAGGCTGAATTTGAACTCAGGTCCTCCTGACTTCAGGGCCGGTGCTCTATCCACTGCGCCACCTAGCTTCCCTTTTAAATTTAATTTTAAAAATTAAAAATAAATTTAATTTTGAAAATTTAATATGGGAAATCCCCTATGAAATATACATACATACATACATACATACATACATACATACATACATATTAGACTTTTTGTGTGGCCAAGGTGGTCCACACAATACTTTTCTACAGCATTGAATTAATTTAGGTTTTGATTTTTTGCAAATGATGCATTTTAAATGTTTTACATTTCACAGAAGTTCATTATCTGGGTGCCACAAAGCATCCTGCTGATTTGGAGAAGGAGCATCTCAGTTTTCCATGGTGACATTTGAAATACTTGTCTATTTTTTTTCTTTCAGGAAAACCTCTCAGCATTTAAATATGATCCCAAGATCAATATTTTGCTGCTACCCCTGCACACAGGTTCCAATGGTTTAAATATCATTGAAGCAACTCATGTTCTCCTAGTGGAACCTATATTGAATCCTGCACATGAGCTTCAGGCTATTGGAAGAGTACACCGAATTGGACAAACAAAGTAAGACTGAAAACAAAATCGAGCACTTTCACTTTAAATATTTAGAAATATTTATATTTCTATAAATTTCTATAAAAATAAAATATTAAAATATTTAGAAAACTAAATAAATAATCCAACTCTGTCTCTAGATTTAGGCTGTATGGTTTCAGAGGGCAGCTGTTGCCTTGAAGCAAATTTCATTTAGATATAATTTTTTTATATTTATTTAGTTTTAGTTTTCAACATTCACTTTTATAAGATTTTGAGTTTTAAATTTTCTCCTGCTCCTTCACTTCCCCCTCCAAAAGATGGCATGCAATCTGATATAGGCTACACGTGTACAATTATATTAAATGTATTTCCACATTAGTCATGTTATAAAGAAGAATTAGAACCAAAGGGAAAAACTATGAGGAAGAAAAAAAAACAAAGAAAACAAGAGAGAGAGAGAGAGAGAAAGAGAATAGTATGCATCGATCTGCATTCAGACTCCATAGTTCCTCATGAGTCTTTTGGAGTTGTGTTAGATCTTTGCATTGCTGAGAAGAGCTAAGTCTATCAAAGTCAGTCATCACACAATATGGCTGCCACTGTGTAAAATGTTCTGGTTCTGCTCATTTTACTCAGCATCAGTTCATACAAGTCTTTCCAGATTTTTCTGAAGTCTGCCTGCTCATCATTTCTTATAGCACAATAGTATTCCACTATATTCAAATACCAAAACTTGTTCAGCCATTCCCCAGTTGATGGGCATCCTCTCAAGTTCCAATTCTTGGCCACCACAGAAAGAGCTACTATAACTATTTTTGTATATGTGGGTCCTTTTCCCATTTTTATGATCTCTTTGGGCTATAGACCTAGAAGTGGTATTGCTGGATTAAAGGGTATGCACATGGGCCTACTTCCAAATTGCTCTCCAGAATGGTTGGTTCAATTCACAACTCCACCAACAATGCATTAGTGTTCCAGTTTTCCCATATCTTCTCCAACATTTATCATTTTCCTATTTTGTCATGTTAGCCAATGTGATGGGTGTGATGTGGTACCTCAGAGTTGTTTTAATTTACATTTTTCTGATCAGTAATGATTTAGAGCATTTTTTCCTAGGACTATAGATAAACTTTAATTTCTTCATCTGAAAACTGCCTGTTCATCTTCTTTGACCATTTATCAATTGGGGAATGACTTGTATTATAAATTTGACTCAGTTCTCTATATATTGTAGAAATGGGGCCTTTATCAGAGACACTGGCTGTAAAAATTGTTTCCCACCTTTCTGCTTCCCTTCTAATCTTGGTTGCATTGGCTTTGTTTGTGCAAAAACATTTAAATTTAATGTAATCAAAATTATCCATTTTGCATTTCATAATGTTCTTTATCTCTTGTTTGGTCATAAATCAGTTAGATATATTTTTAAAAGAATTTCCTAATATTTAGAACAGTCTCAACATGAAAATGGGCTGCCCTTTTCAGTAATGAGTTCTCAATCACTGGAACTGTTCAAGCAGAGGCTAGATTATCACTTGTTGGTAATATTGTAGATGGAATCTGTGCTTTAAGAAACAATTGTGATAACTGACCTTTGAGGCCCCTTTTAACTTTGTGCTTCTTTAGCTTGTGTTAAAACAGTCTGAGAGCCTTTTAATTAGAAAGCCAAAAAGATTCTCCAGGGGTCTTTTAGAACTCCTTTCCCTATCTGTAGTGTGGGCAATGCAGATACTTCCCCTGAAGTGTCTTCCTAATTTTTCAAATTATCCTCATCCCTTGGACCCCACAAAAGGTTGTTAGCTGGGGCTGGAAAACTGGAGTTGGCAATGAAATTGAAAGCAAACACCATAATTTGGGTGAAAGTTGACAATTTGTTAACTGTCCAGACTACATATGAAAGAAAGTAAATCAAGTTCAGATGAAAACAAACAACTCCCCCTCTCAACTTTTGCCCTGAGGAAAAGGCTAGCCTCTATCTAGGTCAGATCTAAGGATCTGCTAGATTTAATTAGCACAGTGCTCAAAGTGAATCTTGTAACAAGAAGATATCTCTTCAGTTCTACCTGGATATAAATATCAATGTTTTTTCTCAGTACAATACATATTTACAAAAATGCACCCATAATGGGCATTTTAATTGCAATATTATTAAACCAAGCAACGTATATGTGTGTCTGGCCGTTGGAAGTACTGGGCATATAACAGAAGCTCAATAGGTTGGCAACTCATGGCTATTAAAAAAAAAGGAGGAGTGACCCTGGGCAAGTCACTTAACCCAGATTGCCTTGGCGTGCCCCCCCCCCCAAAAATGAAGATTTATTTTGGGGCAGGTAAGTTGTGCAATGGATTGAGCTCTGGCCTTGGAGTCAGGAGGACCTGAGTTCAAATAAGGCCTCAGATACTTGATACTTACTTAGCTGTGTGACCCTGGACAAGTCACTTAACCCCAGTTGCCTCACCAAAAAGCAAAACAATAAAATAAAATAAAAAAGGAGGAGGAGGGAAGGGGATGTCAGTAGGATAGAACTATGGTAGAATAATGTTTCCTTTCTTCAGGTACCCGGGATCAAAGTTCAGCCTCAGGCAATTACAAATTAAAGCTCAGGCCTGCACGATATCCTTTGAGTATTAGGGTATTAGTAAATGCTTGTTAAATTGAATAAAGTTTTAACCTAGAACAGGTTTTTCTTCCTTCCTTTCCAAACCATGGGGCCTAAACAAGAATCCTGGATAAACCCACAGCAAGTAGGTGTGTCTGCCTGTCTAAAAATTAGGACCAGTCAATTTTCATAGTATGGGATCTAATTTTATTTTGTTTTATTTTTGTTTAGGGGTGAGGGTTGGGAAGGGGTCTAATTTTAAACAAAAGACCAGTGGGGCAAGAAAATTTAGTGTAAAAATGCTATGATAATCTTTTATGTGAAAGGAACATGTTCATAGCCAAAGACAGTTTTTACTAAATAATTATTTTAAACAGTAATGAACAATGAAAAAACCCAAGGGGATGTGACAGGTTTCAGAGCTGATTTATTTTTTTAAACGTATTGCTTTTCACTTCAAATTCTTTTTTGTACTCATTATTTATTCTGTCACCATCAGATTATGGAATATTAGAATTAGAAGGGATCTTAAAGGTCATCTAATCTAACCTCCTCATTTTGGAGAAGTACCAGTGGGCATTTATTGACACTAAGTCAAGAAGACTTGGATTCAAATCCCACCTTTGATACCTAATTGCTATGTTACATGGGCAAGTTGTTTAACCTAACTGAGCCTCAATTCCTTCTTCTATAAAATGAGTGTAAGAAGAGCACCTACCTTGCAGGGTTTCAGGAAGGTCAAATATATGTAAAGCACTCTATAAATGGAGATGTTATTATCATTATTATCAATAGTAGATAAGAAGAGAAAGGTTCAGAGAAGTGATATTTATTTACAATTATGGATAGTAAATACCAGACCAGGGGCTCAGACTCCTATCTTCTGGCTGTAGATCCAGCAATTGTCCTTTTGCTGTCTGAACTGTTCAGTCTAGGAAATGACAAGTAAAGTTAGATTTTAAATCCTGACATTTTTCAAGAGAGGAAACCTGAAATTTTTTTTTTAATTTTTTAAATTTATTTTTGATTTATCAATAGTCACTTCCACATGCTTTTGAGTTAAAAATTTTTCTCCCCCTTCCTCCCCACCACCCTTCCCCAAGACGGTGCACAATCTGATATAGGCTATACATTTATTTACATTCCTATTAAACATATTTTCATATTGGTAATGTTGTGTGTAAAAATTAAAACCAATATGGGGAACCATCAGAAAGAGGAAACAAAACTCAACAGAAGAAAAAAAATAGCAATTCACCTTCCGTAGTTCTTTCTTTGGATGTGGATAGCATTTTCCATCACAAGGTCTCTGAAGATGTCTTAGATCCTTGTATTGCAGGGAAGAGTTAAGTTTATCAATATTAGTCATCGTACAACGTGGCTGTTATTGTAAGTACAACGTTCTCTTGGTTCTGCTCATTTCACTCAGCATCAGACTATACAAGTCTTTCCAGAAACCTGAAATTTCATCATTAATAAAAAGAAGTTTTATGGCCTAAAACTGGAACAGTTCCCCATTTAGTCATTTTGACCAATCTCTTCCCCCACGGAAGAGTTTCAAGCTGACATCTCCAGAAGACTGACAGTGCCATTGACAGAAATGGGGAAGCTGGTAAAGGAGATCAGTTTTGAAAGGAAGGGTGCTAAACTTGATTTAGACGTTTTTATACAAATCATTTCCTTGAGCAACTAACAGTAGTACTGTGCCAGAAAAAAGTTCTCTAAGTGTTCCCCCCAATCTTTTGACATTAACTTGAACTCTTTCTCTGGACATCTCTGTGACAACAGACCATTATAAGACATTTATTTCCTATATAAATAATATCAGTTTCTGTTTAGAAATTTTTGCTATTTCTTTAACTGTTATGCACTTAGTATTTTGCTTTGACAGTTTAAAGAATAACATGCAATATTGATTCATTAATGACTTATTAGTTTTAGTTAGTATGTTTATTACATTTTAATATGAAGCTTGTGTTATAGTATGTAGAGAGTAGGCCTTTAGCCTAGAAAACCAGAGTTCCAGTCCTGCATCTGACACATACTAGCTGTGTAACCCTGGACAAGTCACACAGTCATCCAAGTAACTCTAAAGCTATAAATTACAGAAAAGGTGTCAATCTATATTGATTGGTAGAGGGACTTACCTCTCCTGGGGGTTCCCTATACTAACAAAACTACAGGTCCAGTCTTTACTCCTATCCCAATGACATTTTCATTTTTATTCATCTTATAGGCCTACCATTGTTCACAGATTCCTTATTAAAGCGACTATTGAAGAAAGAATGCAGGCAATGTTGAAAACGGCTGAGAGGAGGTAACAATGATCAATTAAATTAAAAAGGCAGTTTTGTCAAGCACATATATATGTGTGTGTGTGTGTGAAGAAGCACAAATTTAAGACTTCTTTATAAATTGCAAAATAATTCATCTTCATTTAACTTGGAAGAAGAGCAGTTATGTCTCATCTAATACCTTTTTACATTCAGTTCACAAACTAAAAGCATATGCGCCTTTTAAAATAGAGTCTACATGCAATATTAAATATATTAAAACCCTTAACTGTATTAAAACTTTTTGTTTTAATGGAGGAAAAAAAACTGGTTACACATTGGTTTCAGTTTAATTTTGAATTTTAAGTCAAAACATAAAATAACAAATTGGAAATATATGTGTGTATTTATAGATTGATTAAAATGTGTATTAACACTATCAGATTATAAAGCTATTTATAAGTGAAAAAGTGTTTCTGCCCCCCAAAACTGAAAGGCTTAACCTAGTATGGATAAATATGAACACTTGTTTTTTGTATGTCTAATAGTCATATACAAAAGGGAGAGTGTGAGCATAGAATTCAGCTATTAATTTTATTATTAACAGCAAAAGCTACTGTACCATAGTAGTAAAACTTTTGATTTGGTCAGCAAACAATTCCAGTTTGGGAATCATAAAACTTCTTAACACTTGTACCATATGTTCTTCCTCTTCACAGTCCTTAACAAGCATTAACTGATATCTCACAACATCCCTGTACGATAGGTCTGATTGGAGGAAATCCAAGAAGTAGAATATTGATTTAAAAGGGGTCATTTCTGCCAAGTGGCTCTGCTGAGCAGAATAGTGATTTGAAGCCAAAAATTGTTTCCTTCTATTAGAAATCTAAAAGGAAGAAAAGAGGCTACCATATCAGTAAAATAAAAGTTAGTTTTAGGGTTCAATTTTACTTGCATTTTTTTTGTGGTTGTTGTTGATTTCTCATTACTAATCATCTTTGATTTATTTAAGAATCCTCGGGATAGAAAACTCTTAAAATTCTCTATGAGACAGTTTAATTTTGATAGTAAGGAGACATGGTCCAAGCCTCACTGATGCCTTTTAAACTCCTCCTGGAACATTTTCAGAAAAGAGACTACAACTAATAAATAGAATGGTGTGTATTGCGTTTGAACTAACACAGTTATCTTGCCCCCTAGGTTCCTCTAGATATGCATTGGAATATAGATAGCAGAAGTATTAGAATAATTCTTTGCATTGTGTGCTATTTATTACATAAACAGAATTTCTTTCCCAAGGAAATTGACTTTGGCTAATCTCACTCTGCTCTCTGAAATTTCTACAGCCATACTAGCTCATCATTGAAGCAGTCAGAGGCTTCAGTCTTGACAGTGGCTGATCTTGCGGACCTATTTTCTGAAGAAACCGAAGACCTTGAATGAATCATACTTACCATACGTTTGAACTCAGAAACCTTCATGTATTCACAGTCTTTAAAAATAGATTTTAGTGCAAGTCACAAGTCATATATTCCAGTAGATGTCACCCAACCCTATTCTTATGATAGATAAATGCTTCTTTTGGGGGATTTACATCATTTTCTTGTGGTTGGTGAATCCTTTTCAAATCCAAACGAAACATAAAGTCCTCTAGTGCTACACATAAAATTCCATTTTGGTCCCAAAGAATACCAGTATATAATTTTGAAGGGGGGGGCAACACTGTGCTTTCCTTTTCATTCTGATTAGTTAGAATTAAGGGGAAAGCTACAAAACTAGTGAGCAAACTAATTTTTCTAGTTTTAAATTGCCCTAGAATTGAGTCAACATAAATTCTTTTATGGCAAGAAGAGATTCTAGTATCTATTATGTTACTCACCAGTCTTCCTCTTAGTAATATTTTAAGTAAGTGGTAAATTATCCTACTAGTATTTAAGTGAATTTAAAATATAACATATAGAAATTGCACAGTAATTTCATATGAACAGAACCCTTCGCAAGAAGTTGCTCATGTTGAGTTTTTCCTTTTATATATATATATATATATATATATATATATATATCTTCTTCTTAAAAATCAAAACACTGAAATCCAAGTATTTTACACATTTTTACAACCCCTTAAATAAGCCATGTTGTTTATTCTGACTTATAAGAATTTAACTTCTTATAAAATAAAAAAATACTTAGCTAAATTTTGCTTCATGAGCATGAGCAGTTCTGTTTTAAGTCTTAAAAATGTATTTATTGTTTACTTTGAATGTTATAAAACTCTTTCTAGTTCAGATTTTTTCTAATGTTAAGGGTTTTTTTAATATTGATGTAGTTATGTAAATATTACTAATTATAACTTTTTATGTTTTGTAGTTGATGTGATTGTAACCTGATAATGTGGGGGGAGGGGTTAAACTGTACTTATGTAATATGTGGTGGTGGTGTTGTTGCCCCTTCTGCATGATGGGACTGTGCTTTCTAATCCACTAAATGTATTTTAATCTATTACAATTGCTGTTTTCTCCAAATGAGACCCTTCCCCGTCCCAAAAAAAAATTAAGACTGGTTTCTTCTGGTTTGGAACAATAGAGTATCATGTTCAATAAGCAAATAATCAAAATATGATATTTCTTCTGTGAAGAATGACCTGGACAAGGGAGTTGAGTGCCTGCTTCCTAGTCATTTGGCACAATCAAAATATTCAAGTTTTCATTGTTTTGTTCAAGCTGTCAGACTTGTCTGTAATCCACTGGCATCATAGTGTCTCATTCCCTTTTACATTTAGCTTCTCAGAAAACTAGAGGTAGAGACACTGTTAGAGCAAGCAGCATATCTGATCAGAGGCTCAGGTGTTTGCTTGTCATTCTGGATTAATAAACAACCCCATTTGGCTCAACTGAAGAAAATCCATTTAAGCAGTCTTGGTGCCTGTTCAGTTGAAGTAAAATATGCATGGGCTCTCTTAGCAGGGATCAGAACATGTCCATCAAGGGCATGAAATCCAATGGATGTAATTTAATTATAAGCATGTTTAGGGTCTTTCAGTATTCTCTCCAGAACTAAGTTTTTAGAGACATTATCTGGTATGCTTGAATTTTAGAGAAAACAAATTGCTCCTCCTTATATATGTAAGAAATCAAAGGTGAAACAAAGATATTTTGGTAGAGATAGAAATAATGGGAAATTTTTAATATTCTGAGTTATGGAACTCACATTCAGTCTCCTAAAGCTCTTATATACCCCAACCAAAGGTACTAGGATGAGTTCTCTCCTTCAGCATAGTTTTTAGAATAAAGTCCTACTAAGTGTATCAGTTCTTTCATATATTTCATATATTTTTGCTTATTCTAGATAAAAATCCCTCTTCTGAGGCTTCCAGACTATCTCTGCAAACTGCTTTCCCTCAACCCACCCCCTTTTGGGGTTTATATGTTATATGTTTATACATAGCTCTTATGTCATAAATATATACTCTGGGAATGAACCAGTAAAGGAAAATTAGGTCAACTTATTCAGTCTTTTACAGAAATTAAATTTGTTTCAGTTAGTGTCAGTAGTACTGTCAGACTTACTGGAATGAAAAAATCCAAATTAGAAGCAAATGAAGATTTTTAGATATATAATAAGCCTATTTTGCTTAACTCAGAAGCATCTTCTTACTATAGGACCATTAAAGTTCCAACTTTTCATCTGAGTGCAACAGGAAAATCTGTGTATTTAGTTGTAGAGCATTTGTGAAAGCATTTCCTTGCTTTCACATTGTATTAATAGTGCCAGATCAACACCTAATGCCAGTGACTTAGATTCGAGATATATAGAATCACAGAAGCTTAAAGCTCCCAGTGTTTATCAAAATATGTAATGCCTTATTTAGTATTCCAAAGATGCAGTGCTATCAAGCCAAGTGATCTCCTTTTCTCTGTTTTCATGGACAAGAGAACAATGTACAACAGCTTATTAAATCTCTTTTCTTTCCTTTCTCTCCGTGGGCTTCGGTGTGATTAAGTCTCCTTTCTTCATTAATCTACAGGCTAAGCTTTCAAAAGCAAGAGACACCAGCTGTATTTAGTAGCCATAGGCTTACTTAAATGCAATAAAAAATAGAAATAAAAGAAAAGAGTCTTAGCCAAGTGATATGTGACAGTAACAACCTACATCAAAACTTGAAATTTATTGACATAAAAATTGGAACCTCACCAATACAGTATAAAGAATCCAGGATATTTTACCAAGAGACATGGGTTGTTTTTTTTATTAAAGCTATAGCTTCAAAGTATTTTCAGCTATCACTTAATATTTATATTGTACCTTGGATCCCAAAGAGTTTCTGAGCCCATTTGTTTACCAGCATAATATAATCATCAGTGGACTGTGTACAATTCACAAAAGTTATTTCTTTATGACCCACTGATAGGGGCAGGAATCTTAACTCTGTTGGGGTTGGTAACTTGCAGTGATAATAATCCCAAAATAAGTCTGTAGGGAACTTGAAATATCCCAAGACAGGTATCTGTAGCCATTGCAAATTAAAGGACAGATGAGTAGCTATCCAGAAAGTAGTATACCAGTTGAATCTTAGTCCATGCTCCTGCCTTCTGATAGTGCCTCACAAAGTTGAGACTATTCTGTTATTAGAGAACTTTGGAGGAAGAGATTCTACAACTTCCCTTGGCAGCCTTTCCTAGGGTTTAACAGCAGTCACTGTCAGGAACTTCTTACATTTAATCCAGATTTTTCATGTTGCAGTGTTAAAAAACTTGTTTACCCTTGTTCAATGGAAATTTTGAGAGTGGTCATCATCTTCTGTATAATAGCCATTCATATTCATGAAAATCATTATTAAGTTGTCCCTCTGCCTTTTCTTTCTCCAGTTCCTTTGCCCTTCTTTCAGAAATACATTCTCAAACCCCTCAATCATCTCTCTTTCCTAAAGCCTCCCTAAGTTCTCCACATCATTCTCAAGCTATGGCACCTTAAAGAAAAGGGGGGGGAATATAGACCAAGGACACCGTCCTAAGACATGGGAGTCTTTCCAGGTCTCTTATTCTCAAGCCAGGCAGTTTTGATTGCTGTTTATTTTGCAGTCTGTAAGGTCTTCCTCTCGTTTCTACTTATACTACAAAGATCTAATCCAGTTTTTCTTATAAATCTAGCTTCTTTTCAGTTGTATCAATCATCCAATTAATATAGCTCTACTAATTTGATAAATTTAGAGCTGGAAGTAGCACTAGAGGTCATCTGGTCCAAGCCCCTTATTTTACAGATGAGGAAGAAAGGTTAAGTGGCTTGTCTAGGATCCCAAAAGTATTAAGTAGCAGAGCTGGGATAGGACATGGGGTCAGAGACCTGAGATTTTGTTTTATTTTTCTCCTTCCAAGACCTCTAAACACCATGCTTGGGTCCTTATTTGGACTTCTTAAGTCCCTTCCCTGTGTCCTTTTCATTGCTTTCTGTACTCAAATCTTGCTTTCTATACTTAACCTTTCTCCTTTATTTCAGCCTGCCTACCTCCTACTTAACTCTTTTTCAGACCCTGCCTCAGAAATTCCGTAGATAGAGAGCTCTGTTACCTGTTTTATTATAACTTTGAATATTTTTTCCCTTAACTTGCATAGAAGTGTCTTCCTTAGTAAATGCAAATGAGACTGTGTTTTTTAAAGGAAGTGTTTTGGTGTCTGATCTAGCTTTAATCTATCAAAATGTTTTTAACATGATTGATCTATTGAATTATTAAAATGAAACAACCATGTTTAATCATTTGAGTAAAACTGCCTGAGCAATATTTTCTACTCTAAAACAAAATAAAAACCTTGCAAATAATCAAATTACCATTCATATTTTCATCTCTTTTTAATTCCATGTTCATATTCTTTGTATCACAGTGATAGTTGCAATAAAATATGGTATGAATAAATCTCTTTTTTCTTATCAGTGAGTTGTTAATGACTCACTTTGACAGTGAATTTAATTTATGCAGTGACATTTTCAAGTTATATATAATTTTATTTGTATTCATCCTTTATGTAAAGAGATTAAGCAGTTTCCTTCATGGCTGGTTTTGTGCCCTTTGGGCTTTATGATAAAGGTCACTGATAAGTTACCTCTTTATTCTGTATGTTGGATAAGGTGCTAGAAATGTGTTAAAATAGAGTTACCCAATCTCCATTATACAAAAAGGGACATTTCTCAGGACTTACTTTTTAACTATACAATCTGCTCCCACTCGGCAAAAACTAAGCAGATGGAGTTGGCAAAATATTTTCTATCCTAGCTGGGAGGAAATTGCTATGTGCCATGTATTGGTTTGATCAAAAAGGCATTAACCTATTGTAAAAAAGAAAATATCCATACAGCAGCAGTGTGAGGTTTGACAAACTGTTAAAATACTGAGCTCTATTAAGTCTGCAATCTTAGTTTTGTTTTTAGAAAGGGCAGAAGGTATGGGGGTAGGAGTGGTTGCCTGGCGGTCTGATTTTTAAAATGATACTCTCTTCCCTGCCATAGTAGTAAAATAGGTAAACTGGAAGGGCCTTTATGTGATGACTCTGTGACTTGTAGAAACTAAGACTTGTGTAAAAATCCTCTGAATGAAAACGCAGGAGAATAACAGCAGCACCTTACACCAGTATAATGTCTAATAGTCTTAAAGCGTGTCACATTCTTGTATTTGATTCCAACAACAAAAAGGTGAAGTAGGTGCTCGTGTATTATTATCTTCTAAGTTTTACAGATGAGAAAACTGAGGCTGAAAGAATAGAAATAACTTGCCAAAGATCACATAGCTAAGAAGTGGTGGAACCCCAGGACTCAAGCAGTCCACATTCCAGGAAATTCTTGCTTCATGGCCCCTTGCCCAACAAAATGAACATGTCATAGCATTACAGTGACATTTTCCTCCACAAAATCCTGTTCTAGTGGTTCGTCATGGCATTGTGATAATAACCATTGGTTTCTTGAAAGTTATACTAGAATGGTGAAAACTCTGGTAGAATCCACCTAGCTGGAAAAGCTTCAACTATTGCCCCAGCAATAGACTGCTTTCCAAGGTCCAGGCTGACTAATTATGGGACAGCTGCTCACCAATAGGCTAGCCACTTGGCAATAATTTCTTTAGCCATGGCAACCCATGAAAAAGAATAATACAAACTAGCCCTCAGTTGTCTGTGGCCCCCTACTACTTCTATAGTAATGATGTCAGGGAAACAAGGCAGAAGGTGCTAAGAATCACAATTTTTATACTCTCTGTAAATGATAACTTAGCTATTGGTGCTCTATACATACGTAATGTGTAAAATGTGTAATCTTGTGCAGTGACCAATGAATGTACATACTACTAAAGAAAATGAATTGTATCACTACTTGACATTGTCACCATAAACAAAATTAGAAAACAAACTAGTTGGTTTTATTGTGTCCGAAGAGAAAAAAAAATCCTTTCATGCGATATTTTGTCATCTTATATTGCAGTGATTATGTTAGGTATTTCAACCAAACAACAAATCTTTTAAATACCTCCTATGTATCAGGCATGTATCATGCTGGAAATGTAAAGAAAGGCAAAAAAACAAAAATAGGCCCTGCCCTCAAGGAATTTACATACTATCTGGGGAGACACCCTATAAATAAAATAGGTACACACAAAGAAACTATCATGAAAATAAGTGCAGTTTATAAGCCAACATCTATTACAGAAGATGAAGTCTAAGACCTGGATAAGACCCACCTCCAAATTAAATCAACATATACTTTGATATTCAGTGATTTCAGGTCACTGAAGGTGGGAATGAGGGAGAACAGTGAAAAATATGACTCAAGACTAGGGAATGAAAGAAATCATATGATCACAGTTTCACAGATTCAGAGCTGAAAGGGACATAAGAGGTCACCATAACCCCCTTGTTTTACATGAGGGAACTGAGCCACAGAGGTCAAGTGACTTATCCAGAGTCACACAGCTAATTCTTTCTGAAGTAATATTTAAACCTAGATAGGTCTTCCTAACTCCCTAGTCCCTTTCCCTGTCCACTACACTATGTTACCTCGACACTTTTAGGCTACTTTCTTCAAGAAAAGAATCAGAAGGCTCCAGACAGAGTGAACACTGAAAAATATACACACAGAAAGAAAATTATTATAATTAGCAGAGAGGAAAGCATTTGTTCCTGATGTGGTAGTCACTTGTAAACTCTCTGGGCACACTCAGAATACCAACTTGTAAATTAATACAAAGCTAGAAGAATAAAAATGAAAATAATTATCATGTCATTAAAACATTTTCAACTTATCTTTGTAATTATTAAAGACAATGTATGAAAGGATATTGATGACAACTAAAACAATTTTATGTAGACGTTTTACCAAGGTAAATCAAGTGCCATAATGATGGGGGACCAAAAGGGTCTAAAAGTCACTTTATCAAACACCTGCCCAGCAGAGAGATATGGTAGCCAAGGATAACCCCAATTTAGAATGTAAACACATTTCAATTCATAAAACAACAAAAAGGACTTAGCCACTTGAAATACTACAATAATACGTCACACCACAAATTGAAACCACACAAAAACAATACAAACAATCTGAAGCATTTTACCTTGCTTACTGTTACCAAACTTTAAAAAAGAAAAAAGGATGATAAATCTTACTGAAGTAACAGACTTCTTGAAAATTAGAACTCAAGAAAACCGAGACAAGAAATACTAGAACAAATCAAAAGATTATAAAATAGAAGAGAACATAAGGTATCAGTTACCAAAAACCTGGGAAATAAGTCAAAGAGAGGCAATTTAAGAATCATCAGAGTCTACCTGAAAACCTTGACTAAAGAATAACCTGGCTACTGTGTTTTTAAAAGTCGTGAATGAAAATTATCCAGATTTATTAGAAACAGAGGGGAAAGTAAAAATAGAAATAATCTGTCAGTCACCTCCTGAAATTTAAACTCCAAAATGAATTTCAAGGAAGGCCATAGCCAAAATCCACAGCTTCTAGGTGAAAGAAAAATACAGCAAGTAGCCAAAAAGGAAAAAGTTCAAGTACCAAGGAACCACAGCCATGATCTTACAAGACTTGGCAACTACTATTATCAAGGAGACAAATCTTAGAATATGATATTACAAAAGACAAATTACTAAGTCTTATAACCAAGAATAACTTACTGTGAAGGACTAAGTAGAATCTGAGGCAGAGAGAAGAAGGGACAGGAAATGGACCTTTAAGGGGTGAGACAGTTTTGAAGCATTCTGATGAAAACTTCAAAGCTGAGTAAATACTTTGAAATACAAAGGAGTCAATAGGAAATTTGGAAAGTAAGTGCATTTAAGCTATTCGAATGAGCTAATGATAAAGTGATTACATTCCAGCTGATGGAGCATACATAAGTATACCTTCAAAACCTAATAACTTCAAAGGTCCCAGAGGCTATTAAGACAGAGAGCTGAGTATGGTTTTCTTCTATTTTGATAGTCTTTAGAGAGTAAAGAAAAGGGGAAAGAAATATACCAGCAAAAAAATGAGGAAAAGGCTTACATCTACCATTTCTTATAATCAGAATTTGTGAGATTATATAAATATAAAGGAGAGAATGAGAGGAACAGGCATTATATTAACTTTTATCTTAAATGGATACATGACAATTGAATGCACATACATTTGCATCATACATGTGCACATACACCTCTAGAATTCGGTATAGAAATCTATTAAACTCATCGGAGAAACAAACATGGATGGAGAAAGAAGGAATTAAGAGAGTATATAGGGAATGGTCAAAATTTTTAAAAAGTTCAGGTTTGAAAGGTAAAAAATATTAGAGTAAGAAACCATGCTGAGGCTCTGGGGAGGGGTAAGAGAGGCAGGACAGTGGCACAGAAGTAGATTGATTCTATTATAGATTCCTTATGTTGACCACATCTCTTTTACCAAAAGAGAGGCAGGGAGAAGGTAGAGAGAAGAAAAAATATAAAATACTAGAATGAAGGGAAATGACAATTGTAAGTGTGAATGGAATAATCACATAAACTGGAAGAGGATAGCAGAATGTATTAGAAAACAATACAACAATCTGTTTATAAGAAATATGCTTGAAATATAAAGTTTTGCTCAGTTAAATGGGAATTTATTATGCTTAAGATAAACTCATGCCAAGAGGACCAATTATGATCTCAAGGTAATAATAAGAATAGAAATAGTTAAAAGGGATAAACTGGGCTCTACAAAAATAATTGGGGGGGGGGGAAATCACAAGATACTACATCATCAAACATGATAGCACTTACCTGTAGTCCCTACCACTGGAGAATTTTCTTGAGTTTAGGAGTTTTGAGCTGCAGTAGCGTTAAGGTCAACCCAGTGTTTATAAGTCCAGCATCAATGTGCTGAGAACCTGAGAGTAGGAGGTCACCTTAAGGAGGGATGAACTGGCTCAGGCTGGAAATTGGAGCAGGTCAAAGCTTCCTTGCCAGTCAACAATGGAGCCAAATCTAAGAGTGGCTTCTGAACTTTGAGACCCATCTCAAAAAAAAAAAAAGAAAAAAGCAACACCAACATATTTTTAGAGAGTGTACGGTATAACATTGTATTTATACCAAGAATACAAGGTTGGTTCAGGCTATGTATAGCTTAAATGGAAGATGATGTTTATCTTTTGTTCTCAAAGAGGACCATGACATTGGCAAGGTGATGCCATGACTTTCAAGTGAGTTGGATTTAAGTGAGGGAGGGCTATGCAGAGTCACCAGCCTCACTCTCTCCTCTGGAACCATCTGGGTCCAGTGGCAAGATATGGATCAGGATGACTGGAAATGACCCTGGATGCAGTGGGAGACCTTGGCCTTTTTGAACTAAGGCCTTTCCCAGGTCTCAGTTTGTCTGAGGCAATGCCCATTCAGTGATTAAGGGTAGGTAAGAAGTGAGGCAAAGAATGACCTCTTTTACCTAGTCAAAAAAAAAAAATCAGTCTGGGCGGGAAAGACCATCAGGGTTTCTGGCCAAAATGAAACAATTGCTATTTATACTCACTCTGAGCCATCAGAGCCCAAACAATGACCAACTGAGGTTTGGGCTAGAACTTATTGTTGGCCAATCAATGAGAGCCAGAGTGATTTGGGTTTAAGTCATGGTCCTTAAAAAAAAAAAAAGACATCTAGCTATAAACCCCAAGAAACATGTGAGGTTTCAGTGATCCAAATTTATATTCCTTTCGGCAAAGCACCTGCAGCTAAGGGTATGAGGGACAGAGGGAAAGAAGGGAAGGAGGAAGGGAAGAAGAGAAGTAGAGACGAAGAAAAGGAGGAAAGAAGGAAGGAAAGAGTTGCATTGGCCAACTGGAAGTGGCCAGTTGGGTCCCCAGTGGGGCAGCTACCACTACTCACAGATTGTTGATTGATGTTTGTCCTTCATTGGGAGGGTGATATCAAGACTTGCAAGTGAATTGGATTTAAGTGAGACAGGGCTGTGCAAAGTCATCAGCCTCTCACTGTCTCCTCTGGAGCCATCTGCGTCCAGTGGCAAGATATAGATCAGGACAACTGGAGATGATCACCTCAGAGGGAAGGCACTAGCAGTGCTGAGAGGGATGAGAGTAGGGCATGAACCAGGAAAAGCCAGGAGTCAGAGGTGAAGAGAGCATTCCAGATGTGGGGGTGCTGCTAGTAAGGGCAGGATAGCAGATAAAGAGCAAAAATGGCACCAGGACAGACTTTGGTTAGATATTGGGAAGCATTATAAGGCAAAAGGGAAAAAAGTGAATTTCCAAGAAGATTGTGAAATTATATTTGGAGGCTTTTTTGTTTGTTTTGTTTTTAGGCAGTTGGGGTTAAGTGACTTGCCCAGGGTCACACAGGTAGTGTCAAGTGTTTGGTCTAAGGCCGGATTTGAACTGAGGTCCTCCTGACTTCAGGGCCGGTGCTCTATCCACTGTGCCACCTTGCTGCCCCTGGAGGCTTTTTTTAAAAGGCTAAAGGACGTCATGGTATTTTCCTGAATGCAGTCCAATCACAGATAGGGACAGAATTTTGGACTAGTTGGCCTCGTGAATACTCTTTTATATCTGTATTTCTAAAATCCTGATACATGTGGTTTGATTCTCCATTTAGTTTTTCTCACAAAAATACTGGTAGACAGCTTAACAATGAGTTCAAGTTCCAGAAAAACTTTATCAGAGCTATGTGAATAACAACCCACTCTGTGTTTAAGACCCAAAGAAATCACATAGCTGACTGAAGAAATTGAATAACCATTTGCTTTTCTTTCCTATCATTGTCATCATTCTAACATGTGTTCTTACTCTCTTTTTTACCATCATGTAGGCCTCTCAAAGCCAAGACTATAAAGTAAAAATGTGAAAATACCTATTCTAGTTTTCTAGGGATAATTCCAAAGTTTAGAAAGGTAGA